GGGGCTATGGGAGCCTCTTTTGAGGGCCTCTGGATCAAGGGGGCTGGAAGAAGGAGCTATAGGGCTGAGGTTCCCACTTTCCTGTGCTAAAATGATTAATTGTATTAAGATGAGGGAGCAATCAGATGAATGCATGTAGACAATGGTAACACTTAGTCTTCCCACCCCAGCCTGCTATCCGAAAATACACAAACGAGTAGAAACCTAGACTCAAGGGAGAGGAAGGAGTTAGAACAAAAGTAAGGAAATCTGAAAGGAAAGAGAACAAAGGAGCAGAAATGAAGAGAAAAAGGAAAACAATATGTCACTTTTCTCCTAGACTCCTTTCTGCTCTTTGTTCATGAAACCCTTTGCTCTTCCTCTCCTCCCCAGAAATTGAGTGGTTTTGTTTGTTTCGTGAAGCAGTCGTCTTCTCAGGGGTGCAGGGTAGATGCTAGAGATGGCACAGGTGTGAGCAACAGGATAGGTTTTATCCTCTTTGTCTCTCCACCACCTGCTGCAGGGAAATGTGGACTGCCAGAAAGAGCAGAGCGAAGGTAAACCAGATGTGGTGTGCCCTCCCCTTCTCCCAGAGTGGCACAGTGGAAAGAGTAGAAGATTTGGAAAGACATCATGCTTGGTAAAGTAGAGGATCAGCAAAAGATAGGCAAACCCTAAATGAGATGGATTGACACAGTGGCTGCAACAATGGGCTCAAGCATAACAACGATTATGAGGATGGCGCAGGACCTGACAGGGTTTCATTCTGTTGTATATGCAGTCGCTATGAGTTTGAACTAGCTCATCAGCACCTAACAATGACAACAACAATTAAAATCTTGGTTCTGCCTGAGAATAGCTGTGAGTTTTAGCTAACCACTTATTTCCTCATCTGTAACATGGACATGGAGCCCTGGTGGCACAGTGGTTAAGTGCTAAGCTGCTAACCAAAAGGTTGGCAGTTTGAACCCACCAGCCGCTCTGTGGGAGAAAGATGTGGCAGTCTGCTTCCGTAAAGATTACAGCCTTGGAAACCCTATGCGGCAGTTCTACTCTGTCCTATATGGTCACTATGAGTTGGAATTGATTCTATGGCAAGGGGTAGGACCTAAGAATACATCCCTCACTGAGTTATTATAAAAGCTGAAATTGGAAATGTCCGTAAAGCATTTATACAGTGCTTGAGACATGACAGGTTTGTAAATGTTGGCTTTCTTGTCACTGCCTGGATTGGTGTGGAGCAAAACTTGAAACTGGGTAAGAAGGTCAGGAGCAGTGCTGCTGGGACTTTATGTCTTCCTTCCTCCCACGCAGTCCAGCTACTGCAGTTCCTACCTCTACTCCTGCCCACACCGACCTGTTGTTGTGTGCCCTCGAGTCAGTTCCCACTCAGAGGACCCTACAGGACAGAGGAGAGCTGCCCCATGGGGTTTTCTTGACTGTAATATTTACCGGAGTAGATCATCAGGCCTTTTACCCGAGGAGTTGCTGGTGGGTTCGAACCGCCAGATTTCAGTGGTGCTCAGCTGAAAAAACCTTATACTCGGCTTTATTAAGAAATCAATGTAAATACTGTGGTTTACACACATGAGGCCGCACCACCAGGGCTCCTGCACACTCAAGCTCGCCAACTGCAAAGGAAAGGGAGTTGGATTTGGCACTAGAAGATCTGAGTTCAAATAACAAATCTTACTCCCTATGTAACTTCAACAAATCTATAAGCCTTGATTTCCTAATATAAATAGAACCAAAACCATTGCCATCGAGTCGATTCTGACTCATAGCGACTTTATAGGACAGAGTAGAACTACCCTATAGGGTTTCCAAGGAGGGGTTGGTGGATTCGAACTGCTGACCTTTCGGTAAGCAGTCTTAGCTTTTAACCACTGTGCCACCAGGGCTCCAATATGAATAAGGGCATGATAGTCCCTATCTCAGAGAGTTATTGGGAGAATTATATGTCACGATGTGTTTGAAGGCAACTTCTAAAAAATAAAACATTATACAGTGTCACTGTGAGGAAGCAAAATGATGAGTGGGATCAGGGACCCTGAGGGGTGGTGTCACAGACGGATTATCCCCCAGGGTGGTGGAATACTCAGTGACAAGAGGAAAGAGAAAGTGGAGAGGGAGCAGGGGCAGTAACATCAGTGATGAAAAGACAATTCTAATGGACGATTCCACGGTAATCATGGGAATGTGAGTGTTACAAAAATAATAAGAACTGTCATGTATTGAGCCTCCTGTGTTGTGCTGAAGACTTTGCGTTCATTATCTCTGAACCCTATATGACCTCTGCATTTCATAGCATCCTGATTTTACAGATAAATGAACAGACTCAGAGTTAAGTAACTTATTCGGGGTCATGTAGCTACTGAGTCAGAGACAAGGATTTAAAGCCAGGTCTGAATGCTTCCAGCTATTCTAGGTCCAGTCTCATCTGTGTAAACCAAACCCGTTGCCATCTTGTCGATTCCAACTCATAGCAACCCTATAGGACAGAGTAGAACTGCCTCATAAAGTTTCCAAGGGCCGGCTGATGGATTGGAACTGATGACCTTTCGGTTAGCAGCCAAGCTCTTAACCACTGCGCCACCAGAACTCCATGTGTAAACCGTAATATTCAAATTGATTACTTAAAAAAGCCAAGGGTAAGGTTTTTTTAGGGCTTCAGATTACTTTCTATTTTTTTCCCACCAAATGCCTCCCCAGTTTTTTCCCCCTAGAAATGACTAGAAAAGTCTATCTTCTTAAGATGTTTGATGCATGAGCTAGACAGTCAACTAACTCATTTAACTCTTAGAATTATGACTTTGGAACGCAGTATCCCATACACCTTCTGCATTTCCTACCATATGGAAGTGTCCAGAAGGACTACCAGTTGCTGTAGAGTTGATTCTGACTCCTGGTGACTCTATGTGTGTCAGAGTAGAACTGTGCTCCACAGGATTTTCAATGGCTGATTTGTGGAAGTAGATTGCCAGGCCTTCCGAGGTGCCTCTGGGTGCGCTCGAACCTCCAACTTTATGGTTAGCAGCTGAGCACATTAACTGTTTGTATCACCCAGGGACTCCCGAGAAGGACTAGCACTCTTCCATTTAAATTTTATTCCCAGCACTTAGATCATACTTTTCTACACAAACTCCCAATTAGCTAAACTTTAAGTGATTAAATGAATATGTGGATGAATGAATGAGCAACTTGGATTTTTATCTGCAATTTTTCATGAGTATAGCAAATTGTGAAAATGCTATAGTCACTACAAGTAAATTTAGAAGGCAATCTCACTTTGGCAAAATAGTAAGGATTTGTAGAATTTGCCTTTACTGGTGGTAAATAAATTTGGAGTATAAGGGAAACTGCAGCACGTATTATTTTTAGCTTCTAACACTGCCGTAAGATACGATCCTGCTGCTTGATAGCCAGGCATTAATCATTCACAAGCTCTTATCCTTCATTTGCTTTGCGTCGTTAACCTCTTAGAACAAGTCCCATTTTCCAGAGGTTGGTAGGGAAGCAGTTATGACTGGCAATGTTGTGAGAAATTGACACTGTTTTATGATCTGTCTTCAAATCTCACCTACTAACGGTTTTATTGTGTCTCTTCCAGTGAAAAAGGCAATTGAATTGAAGTCAAGAGGAGTCAAGATGCTGCCCAGCAAGGACAGTAGCCATAAAAACTCTGTCCGTAAGTCTTCTTTCTTTCTATATGAGTATTGATACGTCAATTAAGGGGAAAGGAGAAGAGTGAATGAAGTAGTTAAGCAGTAATTCTATAAACTGCTTTTCCACTTCATCTCTTTCCACTTTTCTACTTTCAAAAGTATTTTCTGGAAGAAGGAATATACACTAACTTCACATTGTTGAAGAAAGAATGTTGTCTTGATTCTTCCTCCTAAACGTGTCTCAAATCTGTCTTCACCTGACCGCCCGTATTGGTCACTGTGTGAGTCTGGACCTTCCGCATTTCGCACCTGAGTAAATGTTACATTGTCAGACATTTTACTCCCAAGTCTTTTCACTCTAGTCCACCCCCCATGCACTATGTTGCCAGACTGATTTTTTTAAATTAGAAATCTAACCTTGTCATTGTCCCATTAAAATATTCACAAATATCTGCCACCTGAGGAATAAAATACCGTTACCACAATGTCCTACATCATTCCAAAAAGGAAATAAGGTCATGGAAACCATTTCTCTATTGCTTACATTTGTATATTTCTAGCACATGGCAGGCACTCAGTAGATAGTTATTGACTGAATGAAAGTATCCTCCGCCACCTGATTTTCTCATCTATTCTCCTTGACACCCCCTTCAGCGTTCATCATTATTTAGGACCGTCGGACCAGGCAACATTTTGTTCTGTTATGTATAAGTTTGGTGTGAGTTGGAGCCCACTGAATGGCTGCTGACAACAACAAATGGATGAGCTCAGCATTCCTTGACTATGTCATTGGGCTTTTCTGCTGGAAGTGTCCTCTGTCCTTTCATTGATACTGAAATGCCACGTGTTCCTCCTAGAGTCTCACCATTTGAATCGTTTGTTGACCCTCCCGGTTTTGTGCTAGTGCTGTGCTCCTGCATCTGTTACAGCCCTTACTGTGTCACAGTTTGGCCATGTTGTCACCTGTTCCCGCTAGACGGAGATCAGCAGGTGCCATTGAGACACCTAGTGGGTTTACTTCCAGCTTGGTCCTTTCCTGGGGCATCACAAGACTTTCAACCGGTTCTCTTGCCTTTTGTAGCCATTCCTAGTAACTGCTTCTTCTGCGGTTTTCTGTTACTTGCTGTCTTGATGTTCTTTAGCTGGTGTTTTGGATCAACGTATTCTGTTTTTCCACTGCCTAGCAGCAAATAGGAGCCCAGAGGCTAATAGGTGGTGCAGTGGTTAAGAACTCGGCTGCTAACCAAAATGTTGGCAGTTCGAATCCACCAGGCGCTCCTTGGAAATCCAATGGGGCAGTTCTACTCTGTCCTATAGGGTACCTATGAGTTGGAACTGACTCAACAGCAAGGATTTTGGTTTCGTTTTTTGGAGCAGTTAATAGAGATAGAGTGCCAGGGATGGACATGTGGGATCCCCTCAGTTCGTCGAATCTGCTTTTATCTGCATTATGTATTGGGTTTCCCCAAAAGGTTTTGAGATATATTTTCCCTTAGAATTAACGATTAAAGAAAAAACAAATAACGATAAAAACCGTTTGAAAATCACATCATGGATTGACTCACTTTTGCTTTATCAGTATTTTATGGTTTCCTGTTGATTGCCTGGGTAACAATAGTTCATTGCCTCTGTACAATGGTCCTATCCTATGGAACTTGGGAGAACATTGAGGTAGACACAGACCCTTAAGCTGTGGCCGTCAAGCCAAGAGTAGAGCATCTGAACTCTGATTGAGACTCAGGTCCTTAGGCCTCACACACACACACATATACACACACACACACACACAATGTTTTCATTATACACTCTGTCCTATAATCATAGTCAGTGACATTTAAATTAACTTGGACTCAAAATAGAGGGAAGATTTTATATGTAAAAAATGTTGAAATGGCAAATGTCTTCTCAAAAGTAAATATATTTATTTATGTATATATTGGCAATAAAAAATTAAATTAGAAGTTTGGAAAGAACAGAAGGACAGAGAAAGGAAGACGGGATTTTTAAAAATAAAGCTGTAATATTTGCTATTGTTAGCTTTTAGTTTAGGTTGTTTGGCAGAGTGAAAGATATAGTTTTACAATAATTTTACAACTGATTTTTTGATGGTGTGTAAACCCTGCAGAAATGATCCCAAGCGTTTACGTTGGTGTGGCGTCACAGATCAGGTGAAGTTCTTGCATCAAATCAATATCAGAGCAGCTATCAAATTAATTGTTGTTGTTGTTAGGTACCATGGAGTCAATTCCGACTCATAGTGACTCTATGTACAACAGAACAAAACACTGCCTGGTCCTGTACCATCCTCACAATCGTTGTTATGCTTGAGCTCATTGTTGCAGTCACTGTGTCAATGCATCCCGTAGAGGGTCTTCCTCTTTTTTGCTGACCCTCTACCGTACTAAGTATAATGTCCTTCTCCAGGGACTGATCCCTCCTGATAACATGTCCAAAGTACATTAGACAAAGTCTCACCATCTTCCCTTCTAAGGAGCATTCTGGCTGTACTTCTTCCAAGACAGATTTGTTCCTTCTTCTGGCAGTCCATGGTATATTCAATATTCTTCATCAACACCATAGTTCAAAAGCATTGATTCTTCCTGGGTCTTCCTTATTCATTGTCCAGCTTTTGCATGCATATGAGGCAACTGAAAATGCCATGGCTTGGATGAGGCCCACCTTAGTCCTCAAGGTACCATCTTTGCTTTTGAACCCTATAGAGAGGTCTTTTGCAGCAGATTTGCCCAGTGCAATATGTGTTTGATTTCTTGACTGCTGCTTTCATAGGTGTTGATTGTGGATACAAGTAAATGAAATTCTTGGCAATAACCCTGCAATCGTCCTTTTCCTCCAAAGCCCAGCCCAGTGCCTTTTCAGAGAAGCTCATTAAATTCTCCTTTACCTAAAGCCTCACATGAGTAGACTGTAATAATAGTTTTCTTCTTCTGGGTTTGGATTGTGTTATGGCAATGGGAAGCCCCCACAGGATATTGGAGGCAAACGTGAATGTGAGGTCAGGGTATTTATTTCTCCAGCTATTGTTGTTATTAGTTGCCATCAAGTTGATTCTGATGCACAGCGACCTCCTGTGTGCAGAGGAGAATTGCTCCATAGAGTTTTCAAGGCTGTGTCCTTTTGGAAGCAGTTTCCCAGTCCTGTCTCTCAAGGCACTTCTGAGTGAGTTTGAACCACTTTTTGGCTAGTGGTCCAGTGCTTAACCCTTTTCTCCACCCAGGTACTTTCCTCCCTACAAAGTCAAGCTGGCTGTGTGGTCCAAGGTCCAAAGACCCAGAGTCACTGCTCCTGCTGAAGGAGTGACTCTATGACTCTTTCCCTTGTTTTCTCAGGACCAGATTGTTCCCCTTGTTTTTAGCCTAGGAAGTGATAAAAACAAACAAAATCTAAACCCGTTGCTGTCAACTCGCTTCCAACTCACAATGACCCTGTAGGACAGAGTAGAACAACTGTCCCATAGGGTTTCCAGTGAGTGCCTGGTAAACTCAAACTGCCAACCTTTTATTTAGCAGCCGAGCTCTTAACCCCTGGACCCAGTTTATAGGAAGTCTCGGTTACCACACTATTCCTTGGGGCATCCCCAGACCTACACTTACGTAAATGGCCCCTTTGTAAGTAATCTTGACCTAAATTACTCTCCTCCAGAGTGGCATCTGTTTCCTGGTAATACCCTGTTTAAGACAATAGAAAATGTTCAAGATTTTGTTGAAACAGACAGGGCAAACTTTACCCAAAGATTGAGAAGTTAAAAATAAACAAAGCCGCACACAAGGCAAGGCAAGGAACCCGTGCCTTCTGGCTATATCAGATCCAAGCTAAGTCCTTTTCAGCTGACTCCTCATGGATGTCCTCTGAGTAACAAGCAGGAGTTTAAACAAGTGCCAGGCAGAGAGAGAGCCCTGGATCAAGAGGTGGGAGTATTTGACAGACGACTTCAAGGGATTTGCAATTTAACGATGCAAGGCTAATACAGTTATAATAATTAAGCAATAATTATAATATTGATACTATGTGATATGTAATACACTAGATTAATGTGATATGTACTGTGAGAGAAGTAAGCAAGGATTTTCTAAGTTGTACATTAACAAGTTAACACAAGTAGACAGTAGCAGGTACATAGATTAAAAACAAACTCCTCATTGTTTCATTTGAAAAATAAATAGTGCCTGTGTCTGGATGTGTCACAGTGTCCCTGATTCTAGCCTGTTCTTGGCACTTTTCCTTGCTGGCCAGTTTGCGTTTTCTGCCTTGATCTGCCTTAGTTATACCACCCAGAGGAGTCCTTGGGAGCTGTGCCTTCCTCTGAGGAAGCGTATTTCCCAACTGATGGCCCCCACTGAATCACACCCTGTGCCTCCTCATCCTCCGACAGTCAAAGCTGCCAGGACCTGCAAGTAATTGGTACTTAGTAAGTGTTTCCTGACTAAATACATGAATGAATGGAAAATATAGGAAAAAAATAAAATCTGTATTATGGAACAAAGTCCCTACAGATTCTCTCTTTAATGTATCTTAATCTGATGCATCATTTGTGAATTTTGCTTTGGAATCACTAAGCCAGTAGGTTTCCTCATCCAGCCCTGATTTCATTTTACCAATTAACCCCTAGTCATTCACTTTGGGAGGATTCCTGGTGGTGCAGTGGTTAAGAGCTCGTCTGCTAATCAAAAGATCGGCAGTTCAAATCCACCAGCCACTCCTTGGAAACTCTGTGGAGCAGTTCTAAATCAACGACAACGGGTTTTTTTTTTTTTTTGATTTAATTCACTTTGGAAGGCGGTGGTTGTTCAGTGGTAAAATGCTCACCTTTCATGAAGGATGCCCAGGTTCGAATCCCGGCCAGTACACCTCAAATGCAGCCACCACCCATCTGTCATTGGAGGCTTTCATGTTGCTCTTCAGCTTCACAGGTTTTAGGGACTTCCAGACTAAGACAGACTAAGAAGAAAGGCTGGTGATCTACTTCCAAAAATTGGCAAATGAAAACCTTATGGATCACAAGGAG